ACCGCCCTTCTTACATGCAAAGCAAAGGCCACTTTTCTGAGTAGGAGCGAGATCCTCTCCAGTGGACTCTGCATGTCCAAAGGCACTGGGTTCGGTCCCAGGCCTTCAGTGTCCTCTTGTGCTGAGAGTGTGAAAATCAAAAGGTAGATTTATATGAAGCTGTTCTGACATCTACAAAAATCCTAGCGTCTGAGTCATGCTTTCGAGTGCCTTTGTGTGAACACCTTCCCGCAGACAGATCACTCACTGGCCCACAGGTGTTCTGCGCATTTCTATTTTTCTCCTTTTGACACTGCTGACTGCCTGTAGAGCTCCTCTCTTTCTGGAATTGTCTCTATGGCCATATTTCAAGATTTCCTTTAATCATTAGGCATACTTTTTTGCCATCCGCCTCTTCAGAAGCTGACAGGTGTCAAACCAGTGGGGAAAGCAAAAAGGAAATTTCATGATGCCAAAACATGGCTTGTCTTGGAGGCTTTGAGTTTATCATGACACTGTGGTGTTAAGCTGTCTTGTTCTGAGGAGAAGCTAAAAAGAGTGGGGATGGGGAGGCTTCTGAGGTCCCTGGTGTTTCTGGAGGTGAGAATTTTTTTTTCTTCTCCATGCAGCTGTGCAGGGAGATCTGGGTCACATGGCTGCTAATGCCACCAATCCCGGGCAACTTTGGCTCAATAAAAATTTCCCAAATGGCTACTTGGGGGCCTTTCAGAATTCAGGAGAGCTGTCCGTTGTTATAGTAACCGGCCCCCTGCTGTCACGTTGGCCTGAGCTGCCAGCCAAAGCTCTTGGAACAGGCTGACACATAGTCACCAGACAAAAGCAGGGAGGGGTGCGCAGCTAAAGGTTGCCATTTAAACATGCTCCGTGGCACTTAAAAGACTGCACGGGCTCTGTTGGGGAGGTGGTGGACAGACACGTTTTTAAACCACGCTGCCTTTCCAGGACAGGAAAACTTCTTTTGTTTAGTGAGTCCTTGGTAGTAACTGTGCTTCTTGGAATTTCTGCAATTCAGTGTGTTCTCCCCCGGCCCCAGGATGGATGCTTCCGTAGGTTTCCTCAAGTAGCCCGCTAATTATTCCAGGTATTAGTTACCGATTGTATGGTATTTGCTTCCCTGCAGAGCGTTGTCAGCTTAAGGGTGGTAGTTTTAAGCGCCTGTGGTTGTGTGTGAGGAAAAACTGCGGAGCTAGCCGGCTCTGCTCCAAAATTTCTGAAAGAGTGAATCTGGCAGAATTTAGAGCAGGGCTAAGGGTTGAGAAAAAGTCTAAATATTGTAGGAAGCTGCAAATTTCAAGTTTTTATGGAAATTTGTAAAATCATTCCAACACACAGATTAGTGTTCTTAGCCACACAGCAGATTCGTGCCATTTGGAGGACAGTTGTGGTGGTGCAGGGATGTTCTCCATAGAGCCAGACAAGTTCTGCGCCACAGCAGTCCCCTCCCGCTTGTCTCTTGCTTCCGGTCTGGCTTCTCCTGATTTGGGCTCCTGTGCAAGCACTTTCACCCAATACACAGCCTAATAATTATCAAAATACAAATAAACGAAAGCTTGTATGAAGGCAGAAGAAAACCCGACACTCCACAATTAGAAGATGTTCAGTCTTGCAAGTGCTTCGCTTCCCAAAGAGGAAGAAGCGGCCTATGAGTGGCACCACCTGTCACCTGCAGGGTGAGCGCTTCCAGAGGAGAAGCTGTGTCCACTCCGCGTTCCTCTGGACTTCCTGGCCACGCTGTTGGAACGCTGGGGAAGCAATTCCCTGTGAATTCTAGCAGCACCACCCGGTTTTGGGCGTGTCGAATATAATTAAATAGGCACTTCCATGTTCCCTTCTGATGAAATTACATCTTTCGGAGTCTATAGCCCAAAGATGCTGTGGTTATTTACATTTTAATGGGACACTGGATATAGGGTTTTTTCAGTTTGGGGCGATGGTACTAGGGATTGAAACCAAGTCCTAGCCACTGAGCTATAGCACTAGCCCTTTTTAGTTTTTTGCTTTTAGACATGGTGTCACTAAATCATTAATCTGCCCAGGCTGCATTCGAACATTAGGTCCTCTTGCCTCAGCCTTCCAGATGCTGGGATTGGAAGTGTGGGCCACTATGCCCATGTTATACTTAATCTATACTAACAGCTTGCCAGCTGCTGCCTCCGTCTCCCTGAGGTGGTTCTTCCATGCATCCTGCAGTCTCTGCTGTGTATCCGGAAAGTGCGTGTCCAGAGACAACAGGAATGTGTGGGGAAAAGATATAACCCCAGCGTTGTTTATGGGCACCAGCTTTGGAGAAAGGTGTAGCAGAAGGGAGGCCCACATGGTCCCCGATGGACCCTACCAAGTTGTGTTGATTTGCATGGTATCTGGAGGCATCCTCTTTGACAAGGGTGGAAGACGAGGAATCTGAATGTGAGGTCTTGGCAGTGATAGCAAACCCTCTAGTACGACCAGGGCAGTGTGTCCCTCTGAGCCCTACAGTGAGCTTTAAGGGTGAGCACAGTTTACTTTGCTCTCCCTATATCAGCCTAAAGACCCTTCACCCATCTTGTGAGCTTCCTGTTTTGGAAAGGCCCCACTGAGATCTGAGTCCCAGGGCGGGGGGATGCCTGTGGTAGAGGGGAGGGAGGGTGTTGTATGGAACCCTTGGTGGCCAATTGAAAATACTGTCTTCTACACCTGTTCTCTCTCTCTCTTTTTTGTCCATTTAGAGGGTGTAACAAAATAAAGTCCAAGGGCTTTCCCAGACGTTTCCGTGAAGTGCCTTCTTCTGGGGTGAGAGGAGAGAAGGGGAGCAGGTGAGGGGGAGGTCTCAATGGCCACGACCAGCTTGCTGAATTTTTGTTTTGTTGCCATGGGGATTAAAGTCTTCTACACCATGACTGCTGTCACTCAGCTGTTCTACCCCAGCTCCCAAAAGTAAGACTTGCAAATACCAATTCAGCTTGTGGGCAGCTCGTACCAGTTACAGAATGCCCTGTGGGTGCTTGCTTTGCTTTGTTTTGCGGGATGGGGAGCAGGTTTCTGTTTCGAAGTTAGTACATCTGGGGGATGTTCTGTGTTTATGTGTATGTATGTGTGCTGCATCCAAATTTTCAGATGTTTGCATGATGTAGAGCTTTGCTTAAAAAATCATAATGCATGCCTTTAGCCTTTGAGTGAAAATAACTTTCGGAAACCTAAGTTCATGGATAATTTTGAGATTAAGAGTAGCGAGAGAAATGAGCAAATATGGATATAACGTGCTTCTCTTGAAAATAAGGTGAATTTTTTTTAAAAAAGTGAAAACAAGCTGGACATGAGATCACGTGCTTGTAATCCTAGCACTCTGAGAGACTCAGGCTGGAGGATCAAAGTTAAAGTCCAACCCAGGATTCTTAGTCATTAGCAAAACCCAGTCTCAAAAAATTTTAAAAAGAGTTGAAAATGTAATTCTGCATATTTGCCCCAGGTCAATCCCTCCTACTAACAGACTAAAATAAAAAAAAAAAAAAAGTAAAAACATATGAGTTCTAGATAGGCTGAGTGCTTCAAAATATTATCATCTTGGAGTAGTTTATAAGACATGTTGAAAGTCATTATTGTACACTCTTAATCACCATACTGGATCCTCTTGATAATATTAATATGAGGCTAATCCCAGGCAACCTATGTAATATTAATTCGTATAATATTCTTTTAATATTAAAACTGTATTTTACTAATCCTTATTTTATCATGCAGTGAATAGTACCTTTTACTTTAAATGAACCAAATTACAGTCAAATTTTTATGTGGGATGACTTGTCTCTCTTGATTGTGGGTAAATCAGAGTACTAAGCTGTAATTTCAGTTCCTCTATCAATTATAATTGAATATACCTATCAGATCAGAGAACGTATAGTACAGGAATTAGGACGATTTAATGAGAAAGTCCATGAGTACTTTTTCTGAAGCTGTAGAGTGGTAGCATATTGGCCTTGTGACCAGTAAGGTAATTAATGTGTTCTTTCTATGATCTTTTTTAAGTTGTTGAAGTTTTCGATTTCTAATACATTTTCAAAATCCCAAAAGTAAAACCTAAAATAGAAACCCTATTTTTACCTTTGGATTTAAGGATCTCAATTTAAGAGTTGGAGCACGTAGACATCACTTGAACCTTGTTTTCTACTCAGTCCCATTAGAATGTTTTTTTCTGTGGCTCTTTTAATGCCAGCCTTACCCTGGGGGAAGCACGAAGATAAACACACACCCAGTTTCTTAGTGTCCCCAGAAGTGGTAATGTGATGCGGTAGACCGTCTTGTTTAGGTGTTTGGCTCCCACGGTTGGCGTGGGCTTATCCCAGTCGTAGCTTAGATCATCTGAGAGACGCCTAGAGGCTGTATGTGTTATTCCAGGGCGCTCAGACCCCCGCTGTCTTCTCTGCTTGTGAGGGAGAGAGGCACAAGTCAGTTTCACATGAGCCTTAGACTTGAGGATCGTCTAGTAAACAGCAAGTGCTGTCAGAATCTACCTAATTATGACTTGTATTGTTTTTAGTGCAGCTTTTATTGTTGGTGTTGTTTTTTTCTTTGGGCAGTGGTGGGAAGCAAACCCAGAGCCTTCATATGCTAGGTGAGCGCTCTGTTACTGAGCTAGATCTCCAGCCCGGTTTACTTTTTTACAATAGTGTAGTACCTAAGTCAGAAAGACTTGCACTCAGAGAGAGATAGGTCCGAACTCTAGCTATACGACTTCCTAGGTTCAGGGGGAGGAAGCCTTCTCTGCTTCAGTACCCTCATCTAGAAGTAGTTCTCCTGATAAATTCCTCTTTGTGGGGTTGCTGTGACGATAAGTGGAGGTGCCTACGTGTAAGGCTAGTGTGTGGGACATGTGGCCCCACCGACAAGCCGAAGAACAGAGGCTCTGAGGAGGCGAAGTACTTTGCTGGGCCACGCTGCTGGCATGGCTGAGCTGTGACGCACGCCATTGGCCTGAGTCCTAAGCATTCCCCACCCCCTGCTCAGTGCTGTGCTAGGTGCTCCATGTGGGAGAGATGCGCCACATGGAGATCTGTCCTCAAGGGGTCCCAAGCCTTTGTTCTTCCTTATTCTGGACACCCGCCAGCCTCTGCCCCCCGAACCTACAGTTCCCCATCCCACCTGCTGGTCTGAGGACTCAGCTCATGTGCCGCTGAGCACCTTGCCCTCCCTCCGCAGGTGCTCTGACTGCTTCCCCCAGCCCAGCGTCGTCCTCTACAGTCCTCTTTCTAGATCGAGGAGGTCCCCCACCCTGTGTCCCAGGCGTCTTCAGGAGGAGCAGGGATGGACTGGGGCAAGCGCTTCCACCAGCTTCCCCCCCTGCCACCTCTGCCTTCCTCTGTCCCTCTTATGTGCGCCCCCTCGCCCCACACCTCCACGCAGAAGGCAGCCTGGAATTCGCCACGAGGCAAATATGCCTCGGTAGCAACCCTGTCAGCAGCTGCAGGAGCTGCTAAGGAGTTCCCGCCCAGGAGTTTGAGGAAGGCTTAGGTTTTGCTGCTCTGGTTCCTGGCGCTCATCTTAGCCCTTCCCAGCAGCAGGAAAGGGCACCCAGCCCCATCAGGCAAAGGGTGGAGAGAAGAGCTCCAGTCACTGACCGCCATTATGAAAAGTGAGGGCTGATTATAGCCCCAGGAAGGAGAGGACAGAGGTATGAAACTCAGTCTCACCCGGTGTGGTAGCACATGCCAGTAGTCCCAAACGGTGAGGATCACGAGTTTAGTTCCACCTGGGCCACTTAGGGAAAGGTAGCTTGAGGCGTAGTTCAGTGGTAGAGCATCAGTGCTGCCAGAAAAAAACTCAGACTCAAGTTTCTCTGTTTTCTAAAAGGCTGATTTAAGTTTTTTTAAATTTTATTTTAAAGGGAGTAGTAAATGAGAAACAAACAAAAAAATAGAACAGTAGCAGCCTACCAGTATCATGAACATAAACAAATCAAAGCAGGAACATTCCAAATGATACAGGGTCTCAAGACAAAATAATACGAATCAACAGCAGTTGTTACATTACATATCGCTATCCTCAACTACACTGCTCAGATTACCAGATGTAAGAATGAACGATTGCTCAAACCATTATAGGGAATAAGAAAATAATCCTTCGATAAAACATTAGAGATAGTACAGAGTTTCACTAGACAAGATGGTAGGAGTTCACCATTGTAATTCCATTGCGTATTGTTACCTTCAAATCAGTTGCTCAGCGGACTTAAGTTTTGAATAGGTGATACTGGGCTCATTTCAAAAAGATACACACCTGTGTCTCCCTCCCATCATCTGGTCCTTACCCTCACAGATAGGTAACCCTATTGCTAGAGTGTTAGCTAATCTTCCAGAGATGACAGTGTGTAAAAAACAAATATAAATAGCCGTTTCCCCCCTTTTGCAATGCAATAAAATGCTGCATATGAAAGTGTTCTACTTTGCTCTTGTTTTTTAATTTAACATGGTTTTTCTCTACACTGTTTTCCCACAAAAGCCTGGTGTTTTTTTGGTAGGTGTGTTAGGGTTTACTTGAGCAGTCTCCTGGGGTCTTTCTGAATTGTTGACACAACAGAGCTCCAAACAACACAGTGATGGATAACTTTGTTCATGTGTCTTTCTGCAAGTGCATAAGTATACCTGTGGGATAAATTCAAGACATTACTGGCAGAGAGCTAGTGATGTAGCTCAGTGTTAGCGCTCTTTTCTTGCATGCAAACGTCCTGAGTTCAGTCCCTAGCACCACAAAAGAGAGAGAGGGAAAGGGCAAGGGTGACAGCGAAAGAAAGGAAGGGAAATAGAGCAAGAAAGAAGAGAGCGACAGAGAGAGGGAGAGGGGGGGAGAGAGAGAGAGAGAAAGAAAGAGAAAGGAAAAGGAAAGACACAGACAGATATTAGTTGATGGCATCACATGGTACCTAGACTGTCGTTTCGATGGATGCTGCCCCATGGCCTGCCTCTGTGAGAGACTCAGCTGGGTTTCTGTGAGCTGTGCAAGAGGATGCCTGTCCTCTGCACCCTGCCTGCACTATGTTGGCCTTTGTGCCAACTTCACCCAGGAAAAAGAAAGGGGTCTCAGTGTATTGCAAGTGCAGCGTGTCACTGGAAGTTGAAACTTTTGGGTGTTGTTTTGTTTTGTTTTTTTGTCTGTATACTCTGTTTTGCCCATTTTGCCTTTTAGTTGTTGGTCTTTCTCCTAGTGAAGAGGGATATCCCATCTCAGCAGTATGGGATACAAATATTCTTTTCCCAATATGTAGTTTGCTTTTGTAACTTGATGTTTTGTCTTAGATTTTATGTAATAATTTGTCTGTATTTTCCTTATGTTCTAGATTTTGAATAATAGAAAGACTCTGCATTCTGAAGTTACTTCTTTGAATGTTTGGATTCACATTAGCATAGCAAATTTTTAATTGTTGGGAATTTAACCTGGTTGTTAGTGGGATTTCAATCCAACTGATTTTTACAAGGTGGCCACAACAATTTCAAAAATAGTGCATTAGGAAGCCAATTAGTAACATATACCTTACTGGATTCCACTCTCACAGCAAAATACAATCCGTGAGTGTATTAATGAAATATGTAGTTGCTGAAAGGCTTTCACTAAATCATTTTAGATTATACATACTGAATAATAAAGTATAATAGCCAAGAAGATAATTCATTTCCTACCTCCTCTTCAGAATGGGTTAGACATCACATGATCACTACACATTCCAAATCAGTAAAGGTAGTATCAGGTGGGGACTCCCTCAAGCCTCAGTCGAGATGTTTATAATATTCTGGGCTGGGGTCCAAAGGATGAGGCAACTGCCTCAAAACACCTGACAATCCAGCCTTCTTTTCTGGAGGACAGTGGGGGGTTTGGGTGCTACTGTTTGTGTCTAACCTTGGTAAAGCTAGATATAATATACAAACAGGTATAGGTTCTTGGTCTGCTCAAAATGTGATTTGTGAAGTGGCCTCTGCTCTTCTTTCTCTCCTGGGAGGTATTATCAGTGCTTTCTACTCTTTTTTCATTTTTTAAAATTTTATAGAAAAAAGGTAAAACAAAATTTCATAAAAATATAAAGATGGTTAACACATTACATGTTGTTATCTTTAAAGTAGTTGCTCAGGGTGTAAAGATATGGGCATGAAAAAATCTCTAATCAATATTAGCACAAACCTGCCTTTGTAATGAACTAAGGGACACTAACAGTATGACTGACTTGCATTTTATTCCCTTTGCCCCATCCTAGTTGCTTTTCTTTTGAACAATTTTTTTTCCTATTCCACAATATCTATTGTACATTTTAGAACTTGTTTACTCTTTCAGTTTCTCACACCAGGGAGAGAATATGATGTTTACATATGCGGGTCTGATTTATTTTACTTATGAGTATGGTCTCTAGTTGCATCCATTTTCCTATAAATGTCTCGTTTATCTTTTTTATAGCTGAGTAATACTCCATTGTATAAAAATATTAAATATTGCATATCCATTCCTTGGTTGATGGGCATTGGGGTTGTTTCCAAGATGTAGCTATTACAAATTGTGCTGCTATAAACATGGGTGCACATATATTGCTGTGGTATGATGTTTTTAATTGTTCTGACAAAATACCCAGAAGAGGAATAGCTGGGTCGAATGGGACCTCTAATCCTAGCTTTTAAGGAATCTCCACACTGATTTCCACAGTAGTCGCATCAGCCAACACTCCCAACAATAGTGGCAAAGGGTTCCTTTTTCCCCACAGCCCTGCCAGCATTTGTTATCGGTTGATTTCTTGATGATTGCCATTCCTTCTGGGATGACATGAAATCTCAGTTATTTAATTTGCATTTCTCAAATTACCAGTGATAGTGAACATTTTTTTCATATATTTATTCAGTATTTGCATTTCTTCATCTGAGAAGTCTGTATTCATCTCAGATTCCCATTTTTAGACTGGGTCTCTGAATTTGGGGGGCCTGATTTTTTTTCAGTTGTTTATGTGTTCTAGATAGAAGTCCTTTGTCTGAGGGACAATTGGTTAAAATTTTTTTCCCACTCTGTGGGTTGTCTTTTCATTCTGTTGGTGATTTATTTTGATGTGCAAACACTTTTTAATAAGATGAGACACCAGTTGTTGATTCTTTTAAGTATTTCCCATGGAGTTTGGATTTTGTTCATGAACTCACTGCCTGTACCACTGTCTTCAAGATTTTTTCCTACTTTCTCTTCCAGCAAATTTAGTGTTTCTGTTTTTTAGGGGGATTTTTTGGTACCAGGAGTTGAACTCAGGACCTTGCACTTGCCAGGCAGGTGCTTATGCCACTGAGCTATATCCCTGCCTAGTGTTTCTGTTTTAGTATTGAAATCTTTGATCCATTTTGACTTTAGTGCATGGTGATAGGCATGGATCTAGTTTTAGTCTCTGGCATGTAGAGAGCCAGTTTTTCCAGCACCATTTATTAAACAGGCTTTCTTCCAATGAACATGTTTGGTGCTTTTGTCAAAGATAAGGTGGCTCTGTGTGTGTGTGTGTGTGTGTGTGTGTAATTGTATGTGCATCTTTTAATCTGTTCCACTGATCCTCAGGTGTGTTATTTATTTATTTATTTATTGCCAGTATTATGCTGATTTCATCACAATAACTTTGTAGTATAATTTCAACTCAGGGATTGTGATGCGTCTGGTGTTTTCTTTGTTGCCCAGAATTACTTTTGCTATTCTATGTCTCTTCTGGTTCCAAATGAATTTTAGGAATGTTTTCTGTAGTTCTGTGATGTCTGCTAATGGTATTTTGTTGGGATTGAATTAAATCTATATAATAATTTTGGTAGTATGGCCTTTTTCACTATGTTGGTTCTATCTGTGAGCAAGGGATATCTTTCAATTTTCTGATATCACCTTCAATCTCCTTTTCCACAGTAATGTAATTTTCAATGTAGAGATCCTTTACTTCCTTTGTTAGATTGATTCCTAAGTGTTTCTTTTTCTTTTTCTTTTTTTTTTTTTGGATGCTACTGTAGAAGGTGTGCTTTCCCTAATTTTTCTCTGTGAGTTTGTTGATTTCTGAGTGTTGACTTTGTATTCCACTATGCTACTGAGTTTAGTTATTAAATCTATAAGTCTTTTGGTGGAGTTCTTGGGGTCTTCTCCAGAGAGTATTAAGTTATCTGCAGATAATGATAATTTCTTCTTTTCGTATCCTTGTTCCATTTAATTCCCCCTCTTGTCTGATTGCTCTGGCTAAGGTATCCAGAACTATATTGAAAAGCAGTGGTGACAGTGGACCTCCTTGTCTTGTTCCTGATTTTAGAGAGAAAGCTTTTGGATTTTGTCCATTTAGTAAGATGTCTGTTGGTTTGTCAGAGATGGATTTTATCAGATTGAGATAAAGACCATCTATTTCTATTTTCTGTAGGGCTTTTGTCATGAATAAGTGTTGGACTTTGCCATAAGTTTTTTCTATGATGCTTTTAACTCTTTCAGAAAGATAGCAAGGAGGGGAAAAGCTGGGTCAGTCTGAACCTCTAGTCTTAATTTTTGAGGTATCTCCATACTGATTTCCATATTTCTTATACCAATTTACACTGCGACCAATGGTGAGGGGTTCCTTTTTCCCCGTGTTTTTATTGTTTGATTTGATGGCAGCCATTCTTCCTGGTGTGAGATGGAATCTCAGTGTTGTTTCACTTTGCATTTTCTCAATTACTGGTGATTTCCAGGACATCCCTGATGTGCATGTATCTACCATTCAGTTATCTCTAGAAGTACATTCATGTGTATCAGGCCTGTGTCTCCTTTGTGATTTGGAAAATATGCCAAGTGGAAAC